AAAACCTTCCTTTTAAAGAAACCGGAAGGGAAGTATCTGTTGATTCCAACATAAACGAAAGCGAGTGAAGAAGATTTATTATTAATTACATTCATTATTATTTGTTCTACATTTTTCCTTATCTTTTAAGCAATAAAAAGTTGTACTGATTGCTAGTTCAAAAACTAGATCTTATTTTTAAATAACAAAAAAATAAAAACTAGGATTTAAAACGCTGCGAAATAGTTAAAAATAAATTCGATTTGCCGTATACGCCTCTTTTTTTTTCTTAGCGAATTTAAAACTGCTCTCCTGAAAAGAGCTACCAGTTGAAATTTTAAGGGGACGATTTGATACTACTACTAAGAATGTTTAATTTAAACCATGGTTGAACTGAGTTGAAGCTTCATTAAATAGTGCCATAAAATATACAAAAAACTTTATTCGGGTTAATATTCAATAAAATCCATAACTAAGCCACAAATCAATTTTACCCAACACTGTATACATAAGACAGAATATCTATACCTCACACCTATCGTGAGACAGAGTAGCTGTGGATTTCTACAACCTTTGGAGGCTTCCTCGTATATATATTCCGCTAAATCTAATTTTCAAAAGTTCCTGTTTATGGTTGAATCCATAAATACTAGAGAACAAGGAAATGTGTGAAGAACGCTGTCATCAATCATTGCATCAAAGTTCGCCGAGTTTTCATAAGGAAATTTTTCTTTGCTCGCGGCTTTGCTCGTGACTTTGCTCTCATGTAGTCGTGTTATTAATATAAAAAATACATGACTTCCTTTTTTATCAGTTTTAATAGATTTTCATTCATTTTTAATTATTTTTATTAATTTTTATTAATTTTTATTAATTTTTATTAATTTTTATTAATTTTTATTATTTTTATTAATTTTTTTTAATTTTTATTAATTTTTATTAATTTTTATTAATTTTATTAATTTTTATTAATTTTTATTAGTTTTTATTAGTTTTTATTAATTTTTATTAATTTTCATTAATTTTTATTAATTTTTATTAATTTTTATTATTTTTAATTATTTTTATTATTTTTAATTATTTTTAATTATTTTTAATTATTTTTAATTATTTTTAATTATTTTTAATTATTTTTAATTATTTTTAATTATTTTTAATTATTTTTAATTATTTTTAATTATTTTTAATTATTTTTAATTATTTTTAATTATTTTTAATTATTTTTAATTATTTTTAATTATTTTTAATTATTTTTAATTATTTTTAATTATTTTTAATTATTTTTAATTGATTTTAATTATTTTTAATTATTTTTAATTATTTTTAATTATTTTTAATTATTTTTAATTATTTTTAATTATTTTTAATTATTTTTAATTATTTTTAATTATTTTTAATTATTTTTAATTATTTTTAATTATTTTTAATTATTTTTAATTATTTTTAATTATTTTTAATTATTTTTAATTATTTTTATATATTTTTAATAATTTTTATTAGGTTTTATTAATTTTTATTAGGTTTTATTAATTTTTATTAGTTTTTATTAATTTTTATTAGTTTTTATTAATTTTAATTCTTTTTTAATCATTTTTATTTATTTTTATTCATTTTTAGTCATTTTTATTGATTTTTATTCATTTTTAATAATTTTTATTCATTTTTAATAATTTTTATAAATTTTTATAAATTTTTATAAATTTTTATAAATTTTTAATAATTTTTGATAATTTTTAATAATTTTTAATAATTTTTAATAATTTTTAATAATTTTTAATAATTTTTTATAATTTTTAATAATTTTTAATAATTTTTAATAATTTTTAATAATTTTTAATAATTTTTAATAATTTTTAATAATTTTTAATAATTTTTAATAATTTTTAATAATTTTTAATAATTTTTAATAATTTTTAATAATTTTTAATAATTTTTAATAATTTTTAATAATTTTTAATAATTTTTAATAATTTTTAATAATTTTTAATAATTTTTAATAATTTTTAATAATTTTTAATAATTTTTAATAATTTTTAATAATTTTTAATAATTATTTTTTTTAATTTTAGTTTATTTTTACGATACTACCATACAAAAATCCTAAAACCACAGAGCACGTCATTATTTATTTATGCTACAATTGTAATTTCTTTATGATGAGAACCTACAATTCCAATTTCCATTTAAAAAAAATCGATATTTCCAAATATACTTTTACTCCCGTTTCCCCCCCTTAAAATGTGAAAATCCAAAAACCCTAAAACACGTCATTATTAATTTGTACTCATTAGCTGCAATGCAATTCCAATTTTCATGTTTCTAACTTCAAAGAGAACAAAAAAAAATACTCTCTTACAAACTATCACTCCCCGTTTGCCCCCCTTAAGATGTAAAAATATAAAAAACCAAAAACACATTAATATTAATTTGTACTCAGTAGTTGCAATTCCAATTTTTATGTTTCTAACTTCAAAGGGAACAAAAAAAAATCGATAGTCCCATACAAACTTTCACCCCCCGTGTTCCCCCCTTAAAATGTGAAAATCCAAAAACCCTGAAACACGTCATTATTTATTTATGAAAAAAACGTACAGTTCCAAAAAAATTTCGAGCTTTGAGCAAAAGCGCCTACCAGTCAAACAAAAATGTTCTATGCCCTGGTACCGAGAATTCCAGTCGAATGCAATAATTTACTTTGAATTAATTATATTCTACCAGTCGAACATCACTTCACTTAAAAAAGTTGAACTAAGTGCGCATTAATGCAGCAAGTCGAATCCGCTATTACTTGTCAAATAAACCTCGTAAACATCTAATTAAAACCAAACAATTGTTTAATTTACTTTCATTTATCACTTTTTGATTCGGTTGTGATAATAAGCTTTCGGTATTCAGATTAGTACGCATTCGTTTCGGCACATAAATCAATGGAGTTTCCTAACTGTTGTCGATCTGTAGAAAATCGATCGAGATCTCAAACATCAAACGGTGAACGATCCAACACTGAACCGTAATGTTTAATGATTGAAACATTTCACGAATTTAAAATTCCTCTGAGAAATTCCTATTTTTAGAAATTACTACCGACCAAGACACGCGTTATTAACAATCTAACTGCATGATATAATAAGAAAGTAAGTACTGACTTTGGTATTGATTGTGTTGGTATTTATTAGATACATCTAACTAGGTTAAGTGTCTAAACAAAATAGCCGTCCGTGGTTTACAAGAATTGTTTGATAACTGAATATTATTGGATTAAATACTACTGATAATTTAGGCTAAACCACGTAGATGTTCCTCACACTGGTTTTTCCTGGTTTTTAAGAGCCTTTTGATTAGGATTTGCTAATGGATTGAATTAAACAAAACCTCTAAAAATATTTGGGTTTTTTACTTCTAAGCTTTTGCATGTAAAACTATTTTGGGTCCTTTACCCCTTGAGCCTGCCCATCTAAAAATATTTGGCTCCTTTAACGCTGCTCAGGAAATATTTGCTCCGTTACCACTTATTTGACGTTTAAGAGTGACAGCAATAAAGAAAAACGTCCGTCTTTCCACAATAGACAGTCCATAAAATAAGATCCATTAGAAATGCACTGCATTTTAAAAATACTGATATTTAAAGCACTAAAGTTACACCAAGAAATTATCAGTAGTAATATCCCAAGGACAGCGATAATTCGAAATAATTTTTTTTCACTTACCAAAAGCACGTTGCTTGGTACCTTAAGAAACGTGCTTGATTTTGAAATAAAGTCAAAATCACAAGTCGACTGGCACGTTCTAAAGTTATCGTGTCGGTGTACTTATATACGCACGCACAGACAACCAGATGGGATTTTTTTTGCGTTTTCGGATTTAGAGTGGTTGGAAACGTGGAGAAGTGTTAAAAAGCAGGAGAAAGAAAATTTTCACGTCCGCACAAATATAATTCTGGCTCCATAGGTAGGAGGCCTTAGTAATTACTAACAGCAGTATATGAAGGTCGTCATGATGGCTTTGTAAAGCTGAAAGCGATCGCCTGATTTTATTATATTTTCATTTTACACACTGATGTAGTGTATACTAGTCCCAGTCTTTTTTTAGTTGTATTGTGATTGGTTTATTATCTAAAACAGTATTCTTTCTTAAAAACTGATACAAGACTGCTTATTTATTAAACCTGTATTCTATTGAATCATTAAATGGTTATATCATAAAACAAAACCCAATAATCAAATCATAAAATTTTAATTGTTTCAGTCTTAAAAATTAGCATCGAAAATTAACCGTTTTCTATTTCCTACCTATTACTTAAAGAAGCCACCATGTAAATATATATCACCGTTAAGCACAGTGCAACTTTGTCGTTCTGTCTGTAGAAGGGAAAATTGACTAGCTGCCACTTTAAATTCCCATACACAGTCATAATTACGGTTTAATAAGGAGCTAAAGAAAGGCATTAATTTTATAATGGCCTTTCAAAAATAAAGTATTTAGACACGTAATCATTTATATCTATATTCCATACAGGTGCGCATACCGTTTTGTTTATGAGAGAAACTCAAAATGACACTCAAAATTTACATGTTATACTTAATTTGTATAATTACGTATTAATGATCTAAAAAATTACTTTCGCGATATAAACTAGGTTTGCGAATCTGGTTCAATGCATCTAATTTTATGATCTAATTTAAACAACGGTATATTTTCAAACAAAAGTTTATTGACTAATTATTTGTCATACCTAAACAGTAAGAATATCCTGTATGAGTTCGTTTCTTTAGCAAATTAACCGATTATGAAGTTAATTCGTAACTAGATAACTAATAATAAATTGGTTACTAAACATTAAAACTACTTTCTTTTGACTGCTAGGCTAGTGTTAGATCTTCTAGACTAGTCATGATTTGATTTCTGGTGAGAGAAATACCTTTAAAGCTGCTAAAACCAGTTACATTTATTGACTTCCAGTTCAATTGATAATCAAATCTCATTTTTATTACACAAATAATAAAACATTTTTTTTAACTTACTTCAGCTAAGGTAACGATCAGAATGAAAAATGGTGGAGGGCAGCATGTATAGTGGTCGGCGTAATATTTTCTATCTCGATCATCTGTCAGAAATTCGTCAGCAACTACAGACACCATCCTGAAAAAGAAAAGTAGTTTTTTATACATTTTTAAAGAACTTACCTAATCATAAAATATAACATGGTTGCCAGTTTGGAAAAAATATTGAAATCATCTCAAATTAGCCAATGGTATTAATATTTACTACTAAACAAAATAAAATGGGCTTTATTTATATTTGCTTCTTTTTTAATTTCTATTAGAAAAGAAAAAAGAACACTGCAATATATTTTAAATTTACTCATATAATAACATTTTGGTTTGTTTTTTACATCAATGCTATTGAACCATTAATAAAAGTTCATTCAAAGTCTGCATTTTTTTGTCATTACATAAACGTGTAGCCATAGTCGACGCTGCTTTTGTACTGATTTTGGTAGTGTTCATGATGCCAAACGATCGGGTCGACCAAATATTGGTATTAATAAACAAATTGATATAGTTGCAGAAATTGTAGTAAACCCTACTTCTTCCACAGCCCAAGTAGCGTCTACCTTTGGAGTTAGTCATAGTACAGTACACACGGGGTTGACCAAAAACAAATTTCACCCATACAAATTAAAAATGGTGCATCAACTTTCAGATGACGACCCTGACCGAAGGCTGGAATTCTGTGAAAATATGTCCACTAAAATTCTCCAACAGCCAAACTATGTAAGGACAATTTGTTTTAGTGACGGAAGTACTTTCTTCCTTAATGGAAATGTTAATACTCAAAATGTGAGGTATTGGAGTGACATACATCCTCACATGTTTCGTGAAAAACATGCACAGTTCCCATTAAAAGTAAATGTCTGGGCAGGTATTTTGGGAAACCACATAGTCAGGCCTCTTTTTTTGAACTCTAATTTAACCGGTGAGGTATATCTCGAGATGTTAGAAAACGCAATTGAAGCATTAATTCTTCAAATTCTGGAAGATAATCCAGATGAATTTGGTAACTTGGAAATAACGTTCCAACAAGATGGTGCTCCTGTACACTATTACTTTGCAGTAAGACGTTATTTAGATGAGGAATATCCTGGTAGATGGATTGGACGACGCGGTCCAATAGAATGGCCAGCTCGGTCACCGGACCTAACACCTCTAAATTTTTTTCTGTGGGATATCTTTAATCTAAAGTTTACGCTACAGCTCCTGAGAGTATTGATGTTTTAAAACAACGAATTGTTGAAGAATGTAGGGCAATTTCTCCTGACACATTTAATCGAGTCCGACAAGAGTTTAATAATAGGATGTTTTACTGTCAGGAAGTAGATGGAGCACATTTTGAACAATTATTATAAGAACTTGTTCTTAAATATGTATTAATTAAAAGCGAAACTTAAATTTTAGTGTTTATTTATTTTAACCATCAAAAACATCGTAAATAAAAAAAATAGTATTACTGAATAGGTATTCTAAATACCTTTCAAACGAGGTGTCACTTGCCATAAGGTCCCATTTAATATTATTGGTTTCAGTTGCCTGGTGACGTCACCGATGCCTATTACGTCACCTATTACCAATAGTAAAGAAGCTTACAATAGTTCATTTTCACCCTCCAAATTTCATGAGTCTAAGTATCACCGTTCAAAAGGTATAAAAGTAATGTGTAAAGTTTTGTGTACGATGTGAATTATGGATAAATATTTTAACTTAATTTTAAAGTGTTTTGTTTAATAATAATTGATTTATTGATTTACATATATGTGCCAATTTTACTTTTTCGTTCCGAATTATATTTATCTTATGCATATCTTTATATTACTATGTAGTTATAGTGCTTTATTCCCTAAATGGAATTTTACTCATTTTTTTCTTAAATTTGTCAAATTTTATATTTATTGTTAATATACATTTGTTAATGTTTTAATACTTATTATTAATCTCTCCTCTCTTTCCAAACCAGCAAAAATACGAGCATTTGAGAAGCCTCAGCGTTTCTATTCCCTTAGGACTAACAGAGTCTAAAACTAGTTGCCAAGAACCGCTCGACTATGCTATTAAGGGATGCTTTTTTTATTCTTTTAATTTAATTTTTTTATTATTTTTATTTGCCACTGGTGAATGGATGTTCCTTCAGGACTCCAGGACCCTTTGGCTGGTGACGGCGCTGCCCTAATCCCTTAATAGTATATTAACAACAGTAGCTAAAGACCTATCAATAGTTACAAATGGTCTTTAGGCAAGTTGGTTAATTGCCAAGAAAGTACATATCAAGGAAGTAACCATCAAAGAAGTATATATCAATCTAGATGTTATAGACGGCAAGCTTACAAAACCAGATCCTTTTTCTAATCCTACTTCGGAGGTTCAAATCAAGCAGCATAAAGAAAAATCTGAACTACACCGAAAAGATAACAGCTAAATGATAACTAATGCTATAACTGATGCAGTCTATCAGAAAACCATGAATAAGCAAATTTGATGCATGGGTAGCTCTAAAACATCAGTTTCAAGATTTTCCCAAAAACTAACTAATTAGCTTATGTACAGAAGTCTTTTCTTCTCTGTGGAAGCATATTGTCAAATTGCGTTTATTTAATAAGTTGAATTATGGTTTAAAGACAGATTTATGTTAATAAAGAAATTTCGTTAAAGACGAAAGTCGAAAAGAAATTGCACAAAAAGAATTATTGCAAGAAAAAAGATCATTGGGAAATGCAGAAAGTGGGTTGCTGACTGAAATACCTGTACCAGTTACAAGCTTAGCTCTTATATCAGTTCCCCATGAAGCTTTTAATGTTGATGTAGACGAAAATATTTAGTTTATTGATAAAGGAGCAACACGACATGTTGTAAACAAACGGGACCATTTTACACCTTGTTCGATTAAAGCAGCAGGAAAAGAAGTTCTTAAAGCATTGGGAAAAGGAACCATTAATATAGTCTAAATTTCAAACTTCTAACTTGAAACCAAATATCAATATCGTTGTTGCAGACAAAGTTATACCATGAAGGATGGAGGCATCACGATATCAGATTTGTTCAAAAAAAGTTACGAAAAGGTTTGAACGTGAATGTAAAACTTGAAAGACACACTTGTGAACCCTGTGTATATGGTAAATAAAGCATATCGTCTACCTTTTGGTACTCGACAGAAAGCTGACAGGAGAATTGATTTCAATTCATATTTGCGAGCCATTTGACCTGTAATTTTAGAAGATATCTACTAGTATTCACAGATTTTACACAAAATTTCGTTAGAGTTATCTACTTAGAACAAAATCAGAAGTTAAAAGTCGTATTAGAAGATACTGTCTAATGCTCAAATATAGGTAGTCCAAAGAATTAAATCCAAATCCTACGCAAAGTTTCCACAATTTAACACCTAATTCTTAAATAGCACTATTTAAATTCAACAAGTTAAACGAAGGAAAAAGAAAATGACATGCAGACATGTCGCGTCGCAAAGTTGACGGCGAAATGCTCACAAAAATAGAACGGAGACGAAGTGACGACAGACAGGATCCGATTAAACGAAATTAACCCCTTTCAACTTCAAGTCTCAAAGAAATTTGTATAACCAGATCAATTTTGCGACAAGCCGTCGAGATGAATATATTTAATTTTTTTTTCGTCTTAGAAAATGTCGAGACAGATAGATTTTTATTTTTAACGTCAAGGGGTCCTTGATATGTACAAAACTCAATAACAAATTAACCACGAAAAGTCGGGCCAGAGTAATTATTTTCATGAAATTTTTTTACCTGCGAAATAATGGCGGTTCCACAAACAGCAGATGGAAGTCGTTTTCTGACGAAACTTCGCGATCTCGATGATGGACGGCACATTTAAAGCTTCTGGATCGTTTGCCGGTCATCTGAAACAAACAAAAAATAATATTTTAATAACAAAATGATATTCAAGTTTCATTTTTTCAAAAATGAATTAGTGCCAAATTTTAACATATTTATACTTTCTTCAACTACAAATATAGAGTAAGCAATAAGTAGTAGTTTGTGCTACGAGAGTGGAAAATTCACGAAGACGAAGTTAGAGCACGACGCCGTATATTACAAAATTAAAAAATAAAGAAGCAAGCTCCAAAAAAACCTGTAGTACTAAGGTTTGGGGTCATATATTCCTAATATGGGGCTTTAATACCAAGAAACAAACATTAATTTATTAAAAGGTGATATATGCATTTGCTATAAAAATTTAACAATTTTAAATCAATAAAAAAATTAAATGTTACAAATAATATGATATAACGAATAAGAATCAATATAAAATTATGGAATTAGTAGTTCTTAATATTATAAACGTTAAATAAGTTAAAAAATTGTAAATCGTCCAAAAATATCCGGAAAAATAAGCACAAATCGTGCGAAAAAGCCAAATTACCAAATAAAATGTGTTAAATATCATTAAAACACGTAATTCTGCTTAAAAAATATTAAAAAAACGTATTTAAGCTATTTTAATCTTTTTATTGTCACTGCAAAACTAGAACAATTGAACGGATAATAATCAAGAAAACCGTTGATTTAGTCGTTTCAAGTGTTAATCGCCAAATAAGTAGAAAATAATTTGGAATACGTCCAAAAATAACCAGGATCCTAATGTTTTTTGTGTTTTATCGCTATCACTTACTTTGGTTATTAGCCTCGTGTTCTGTACATGCTTTGTCACTGTTTCCCAGCGCAACTTTAGGAACAGCACTGTTAATTAGAATCCAACAATGAATGGTCGGGTGGGGAATTCTACCTATGCATTAATTCATATTTAATTCGTTAAATTAAATAAAAATCCTGTCAACGATCTCAAAGTCATGACATGACTCCAACCACTGAGCCAACCCACCCAATAGGATCTTAATTATACCACAAATAGAGCGAAAAGCCAAATTAGTGGAAAATCGAGAAACAAATTAAATGTATTAAATATAATTTAAAACACGTAATTCTGCTCAAAAAATGCAAAATAACTATTTTATCGCAAACTAGAAGAATTCTTATAAAACGGACAAGAAGCAAGAAAACTTTTAAATAAATCGTTTCAAGTGTTAAAAAACTAAATAAGTGCAAAATTATTGAAATTCGTTAAAAAAAAGTTACCAGAAAAACTGATTAAAACACAAATAATTTAATAAAGCAAAGTTAGTGAAAAATAGAGAAAAAACATAAGTAAATAGGTTTGTTCGTAGAGCGATCCGCAACTATTTCCAACTGAACAGCGCGCACTGATAGTTTCCAGTTATTAGTTTGGCGTTTGTAGAAACAAATGAAGTGATTGCCAACTGATTGGGAATGGTTGGAAAGATCTCTGACTATTCTCGGGATTTTAAAATTCGGGGCATGCGTACATTAACTATTTTTAATAACCATTTGACATTTGTTTGGCTTGAAATTTATGTCTGTATATGTGTTTATCATTCGTCCATGTTTATTTTGATTTGATTAGTTGTTTTTCAGGTTTTTGGTGTATAATATAGTAAAACTATAAACAAAAGACATACTTGATTATTCTGTGACACATCATACAACTGCATACAACTTCAAACTTCAAATAATTTCTTTTTTTGTTCGTTCATTAAATCTGTATCTAACTCACGAGAATATAGGTAGAGAAGAATCCATAACCGTACAAAATGCGTTTGCAAAACATAAAAATGACAATAAATCCCAAACAGTTGGAAATTGCGCATGCGCCTCATAAAAAAATCACTTAAAAAATAAAATAAAACTCAAAGCCATATGTGTCACAATTATACAAGCGGTCGTTTCTCTTTTGAAAACAAGGGCGGCTCCAGAGAGGGGGCCATGCCCCGTCCGAGATTAAAAAATTCTTACAATGCTAAGCCTTTTATATATAAAAAAATATGTTAAAAAGGGAATGGCTAATATCAACCCTCCCGAAAATTCTGCCTGGAGCCACCATTGCTTGAAAACAACTACTCCTTTAGCTAATACCTCGCCAGGTATTGTGAATTACATCAAAAGAAAAAAGTAGAGATATATGCCGTAATAGAGTAACAGTAACAAACGATTATTATAATGTGGACAAGAATCAATAGATAAACATTGAACCCTTTCGAAAAATCTAAATGGCATGGGGTGGTGAGTGATAGCTTATTTGAAAGGGGGTTTTATTCTCTATTCAGCCGTGCAAAAAATTTTGAAATTTGCTTCATTACGTGTTGATTTATTAATGTTTAAAAATAACAAAACCTCACAAAATAGGAAAGCAACTAAACTAACAGTGACCTTATCTAATGGCAAGTCTTACTTCATGTCTGAACCAAAACCGATATCATGCAGGGCCGAATTTTAATTCTAAGGATGAGTGCGCTACGTTAATTTTCGTTATTCTGAAACAATAATTAGTCGAGAATTATTGAAGCAAATTTCAAAATTTTTTGCACGGTTGAATAGAGAATAAAACCCCCTTTCAAATGAGCTAGCACTTATCACCCCATGCCATTTAAATTTTTGAAAGGGTTGCTCCCCTCCAGTAAGGGATGAAATTAAGGGTAAACTATTCATATAAAAATGTACATTGAAGAAATCAAAAATCGACGTGTCTCGGCGATTTCCTAATAAGACTCCAGTAACGAGTTAGATAGGGGGGTAAGACTTATGATGTTCAGTGTTTAAAACTAGAGAAAACGAAATAATGTTAACTGAAAAACTACGAGTTATTTATTAGCGCAAAAATAACAAATATGTCGAAACTCTTCTAAACCAGCCCAATCATTGTCTAATTTCGCCCATTCTTCGCCCCACACATATTCAGAGAAAGAAACTTTACAGAAAACGTAAGTAGCATCATCTTCAAAATTTTCTGAATCTTGGTATTCTGGTTTAGAGATTGATGGATCTGAAGATGGAGAATCACAGTTCACAATAGATGTTATAACATGTTTGGATTAGCATCATCTTCAAAATTTTCTGAATCTTGGTTCTCTAGTTTAGAGCCTGATTGATATAAAGATGAATAATTAAAGTTCAAACGTTTAACATGTTTTAGCATCTTCAACATTTTCTGAATCGTTATCTAAATCTTGGTACTTTGGTTTACAGTCTGATGAATATGAAGAACTACAGTTCGCATGTTTTAACTTGTCTGGATTTCCTCTTGGAATTTGAGTGCTTACCTTTTAGTGGAGCAGATTCATTGACATTTTGTGGATTTTCCATTTTTTTAACTGCATGAAGCTGAAGGTAAATTTGTATGTGCCATACTAATTTCGAAATCTGGCTAGTGCAATAGCACCTTTTCAGACTCTTAAACTTTTCGATATAAAAAGAATAGACATAATATTTATATTTCAGGAGTTCTTTTCCTAATAATGGGGTTCTTCAAATTTGTACCACGGACTTTTCGGACTTCTGAAACTTTTGCACCCACACCTTACAAATTATTAGATATGACTTAATATTCATAATTGAAATGGATAATATTTACAGTTTTTTATGAAATAAACGAATATCTAGTGGAATTGTCATTAATTATCATTCACAAGAATCACTTAATTTTAATTGTTTTACATTCAATGAATCCGAAGAACGAGTAAAATTATTATTTAACAACACGCTGAGTGCATTAACTTACGTGATTATCCACAGGCCCGATGTCAAAAGTTGTATTTAATAGATTATATCGTCGATCTAAAGCACACATATTGTAACTCCAAATTTAATGTTATAACGATCTTGGTACCAATTAAATCGTATTTTAGTCTTCTTTATTGGGCACAAACATTGTAGCTCCAACATGGCTCCAACACCCACCAAACTACAATAAATTCAAATTAAAACTGAGAATTAAGGCATTTAATTACATTCTCTAGACGTTTAAATTTGCGATTGTCCAAAAATGCATTTTTGGATATACAAGTGTGCTTTAGACCGACGAAATCAGGACAGTTAAAGTACAAAAGCAATGACATATAAATGACTTGACTAGATCTTTATAGCATGAACCAAAATGGATAGTATTATATTTTAAAGAATTAAGCTGTAACGAAGTTGAATGGTAATAACGAAGAAAATGTTTATTAATTCTTTGTTGCAAACAAATACAAATATAATTATCACCTATTGATTGGTCAATGAAATTAGTTTATTGTGAGTGTAATCTATAAACACTTGTCAAAGATGTGGAAGAATTGGTCGAACTTAGAAAAAAATGAGGTAAGTTTCGAGTTACAAAATCAATTACCGCGGTGTGGGCCCCGGTAAACGAGTTTTCGAAGAATTTTTCGTTGCGCGCACTTAATAAGGATAATAATTGGACATGCGATGAATTCTGCTTAAATATACGTGTTCCAAGTTCGAACCCCAGCACCTGCCACTTTGATGATTAAAACTAAACGCCAGTGTGGCATCTGTGCTTCTTTTCATCTCGTTCCTGCGATGGGCGAACGCGTGCTGCCGACACAACATCCCAAAGGCACTAAACCTACGATTATGCCTTCGCTTTTTATTTTTAAAAGGCCGCATACCGCGCCCGAAATATAACGAGAGAGATTTTTCGTACTACAATTATTTTTTTATATGCAATTTGCATTTTGGTATTTTTGCATGTGCGTAAGTTCGTAATGGTAATGGTACGCTGTTTTTTCTTTTTTTTTGGGTATATCTACGGAGTAAAATTGAACATAGTCCGGTATACGCGACGAAACCCCAAAATTTCTACCTCAAGCAACAAAATATCACTTTCGTTTTTAATACACAAATAGCTATTTTTACAGAAATCTAAATGAAAAACAAGTGGTAATTTTTTATATGAACAATTCAAATATTGTTACATATTATCGGTACCTTATTTATCTGCCTATTTATCTATTAAAAATTATAAAGTAGAAATTAATGACAA